CCAAGTTTTTTAATTTAATTATAAAAATGTCAGTGAAGACTTAATGATTTATGTTTGAATGAAACTAGACAAGAAATAGAATCAAAATATATTATGATATAGAATTGGATGACCTTAATACAATCATAAAGAAAATTAGTCCTTATAGACAAAGCAAATACTGGGTGGTGGTTAAGGAAATTGAGGTTTGGGGTTTAGCATTTATGGTTTAGGTTTTTAGGGTTTTGTGTTTAGGATTTTAGGTTTTAGGGTTTCGGATTTAGGGTTTTGAGGTTTTGGGTTTTGGGATTTGGGGTTTGGGTTTTTGGGTTTTGGGTTTTGGGTTTTGGGTTTTGGGATTTGGGGTTTGGGTTTTTGGGTTCGGATTTTGGGGTTTCAGGTGTTAGGTTTTAGGGTTTCTGATTTTGGGTTTTAGGATTTCGGGTTTTAGGTTTGGGGTTTAGAGTTTTAGGACTTAGGGTTTCGATTTTTGATTTTGGGGTAGGGTTTTGGGGTTTGGGATTTAGGGTTTTGGGTTTCGAGTTTGGGTTTTGGGGTTTGGGATTTGGGTTTCGGGTATTAGGTTTTAGGGTTTAGGATTTTGGGTTTAAGGTTTTAGGATTTCAGGTTTTAGGGTTTTGGGTTTTGAGTTTTAGGATTTAGGGTTGCGGTTTTTGGGTTTGGGGTTTAGGGGTCTAGGGTTTGGGTTTTGGGGTTGGGGGTTTGGGGTTTTAGGGTTTTGGGTTTGGGGTTTAGGATTTCGGGTTTTAGGGTTTCAGGTTTTGGGATTTAATGGTTTATGAAATTGTTTCTCTAAAATAAAATTGTTTCTCTTTTTGTTTCTGGGAATAGAAAAGTAGATTTTTTTTACTTCTTATTTCTGTTCCAAATCTATTCCCCTGCCACTTTTCTATTCCGGAGAATAGAAAAATTAACTGACATACACAAACGGATTTCTGTTCTTTTTCTGTTCGAACAAAGGAACAAAAAAACAGAGAAATAGAAACATTACCAAATGCGTCCTTAGATGCTTGATATATTTCAAGATGACCTATTGTTAGAGAGAGAAAAATTCTAGTGTGGTCAATTTTTTGAAGTAAAAGGAATTTTCTAAATATGGCAAAAAAGTCGATGTTCACCACATAAAAATGTGACAAGTTGCTGGCCAGTGAGTACCTATGCAATTGAAATTTCATAGAAAGTAAAGTTCCACCAAAATAGGGAGGCAACAAGTGGAGAAATAAACGAATCTAAGATGAATTATTGACATATGCAGGATAACATATTATAAACCCTAATATTTCATTTATAACCTATTTTCCTTTTGTGTTTTTTCCCGTTAATGACCCAAGCTTAATATCCAACGAACTAAAATACACATAAATAACAATTAATGCCACATGTTTGCGAAAGTTTTATATGCTAAGAGAAAATTTCCTTGGAAACGAGAATTAATTAATTGCCCTGTTCATTCAACCGGCTTACAATCAAAACGACATCTGTTAAATTATATCACACATTGCTTAAGTACATAGTTGCAATCTGTTTTAACTTTCATCCGGTCTCATTCCACTGATTAGTTTAAATATGATGTTCTTGTAGCCGGGTTTTAGTTATTTGGGACACTTTGTTTTTCGCATCGCATGTGATTTTTCTTGATCTCTATGTTTCCAAAACTCTATTTTCAAGAGATTTGGGATTCTCTAAATTAGTGAGTAAATTCACATTTTAAAAGTTTAACCCTCTTGGATGAACGACACGTCAGCCAACTCTATATAAACGGCTCAGAAGTGTCTTCAATTTTTATTTTTTTACATTCTTCTTCTTCTTTCCTTTTTCCATGTTCTTCCCTGTTCTTCCTTCTTCTTCCCAAGCAATCACCGTCTTGTCATTACCAACTCAAGCGTGCATTGCCACCTTTGTGTAAATTTGTATAGAAGGTGATAATATTCTGATAGTGAATTTGGGGTAAGATTCAGCTACCCCTAGCTGTAAAAGTTATCTATCATTTTCAAAAATTACTGAAGATTGACATGATTTATATTGTGACAAGTTTCCATACTGCATTATGTGGCATTAGAGCAAAATTCTTTCTACATTAAGATTATCTTAGAGCAAGAATCTTAACCCAACTTTACCTTCCATAATCACAGTTGAATAAATTAACGTGCTCCAATTGCCTTGCTATCCTGCTTTCTGCTGGGCCCTCGTTCAACTAAAACCCTTCAAACCATTTCTTAAAATAAAATTGTCTTCTTCTAACCCAGGCATATTCCTTGAGTATTTCATTATGTAATAAATTGATGATGCCAGATTAATGAACAACCACAAGAGGGACGCGCATTGCCAAGGAATTATAACGAAATCAAAGGGCTGATTTACTGCCCCTAATCAGCTTAGATTGAGAGAATAACCTTAATGAAAAAAAGAAAAAGAAACCCTAAGAAGCGTATAATTCTATAGCAAGTGTGCAGGGGTGGTTGTGCATGTATGCAGTTAGCATATCACGCCCTTTGACAGACAAAAAGATCATTAATTTCAATGGGAGGACCAATGTTTTTTCTCTCTTTCTAAAGCACGGGGAAGGTGTAGCCAGCGAGAGTGCGGGGCCTTGTGCTAGCTATAGCCACTCTTTGTTAATTATGTTCCTCGTTCTAAACTAATGAAAAGAAAGCGGGCAAAAGGTATAAGGAATCAAGGAGATTAGGTAGTGGGGTTTATGCAATTGTTAGATGTGTATAATTCTCTTTTGATTCTCAATGATCAACAATTAGACACATCTAACAATTGCATAAACCCCACTCACTAACCTTCTTGATTCCTTTTAACGTTTCCACCCTTTCTTTTCTTAACTAGGGACAAAAGATGCGCCTACTCCTAATTAATATCAAATTAGGCCGTGTTTCGGGAGAATATTTAGCCAAGAAAACAAAACAAACTGAACTATAGGAATGAACATGGGTAATCGTAGAAAAATGGTTTCTTTGAAGCTAGCATATTTCTTGTGAGCCATGTTTTCCTCCATCACTCGTAGAAGATTGGTGAGTCACAAACATAGACATCATCCACATTTATACCTAGTTAATTTTGCATGTTGGTAATGCTCATAACCTATATCCATCAATCGAATGCATAATCGAAGGAAAACGGGGATGGAGGAAAATATAACCATCTTGTCACATGTAAGTGAACCTCCCACATGCATGTAAAATACGGACGAAAGACATGAGACGGACAACATAATGTAGGAAAACGGACAGACTAAACCTCCAAAGGGTTCACTAAATGATTGAGCACTTGGTAAGATGCAACACATCCACTGTTCAAATGATAGCCTCTCCACTCATATTAACCTTAATTGGATGTCACGCTCGTCAATTGTTAGTGAAGCCTCATCTAATGCACGTGAACATGGTGATTTGCAAGTAGTCACTCGGATATCCTACGTTATAAAAGAACAAACAGACTAATAAGAGTAACTTATAGAATATAAGAGAGTGTCGAGATTCAAACTCGTGACATGTGCTTTTAATATTACGTGGAAAGCCATTTTCAAAACATAATCTGTTGTCAGGGAACAAAATCACAATGTGAAAAAAACCATGTTTGCTAGTTGTTTAGGGTCAGATCAATTGGACCGTAGCTATCTTGTATTTTGTGAACGCGGATTTCTGAAAGAATAGTAGGGAACCTACCTTATAGGCTCTCGTGTGCCCTTGAACTTGTCCTTGGTGCTCTATGATTGCTTGCAAGATAGAATCTCCTTTTGACGCTTATTTTTCCATGAAATACGTGTGAACGAAATATAACCTTTTTCCTTTCAATGGTCACAAAAGAGAAGTTTAAGAACTTTAACATGCACGCGTGCTCCATCTAAAGTTGTATTTATAACCAAGTTGACAGAATAGTAACTTGGTTCCAATGTTTGATCAGAAAACAAACATTTCACCGTCAACAATCTACCAACCTTACGTTATGGAGCTAAGTAGCATTTAAACACCACTTATTGCGAAAAATTGGTCGGAGGTCAATATCTTTTTCAGATGGTATCTAGGCTTTGTCTTATAACGAGGTTCGATTTCAGAGTCGACTAGCCCGGTCAATGTATGGAATTCAGAACCTGCATGCAATTTTAACACTATCATAAGTCAAATTTCACATGAAAACACAATCATCAAAGGCTTGCAACGACAGACCTTTTAATCAAATTCGAAAAATTAAGAAGATACCAGCTCGTTAAATTAATCTCAGGACAAAACTAGCAAGGTAGCCTTACCCTCTTTCTTCCTCCCAATGTTTTTTTCTTAAGTATTCGATTTGTGGCTGCTAATTGAGTATAATACTTTAGGTAACTATTTCTTTTTATTAAACACGCCTGCTGGGCCAGCTTAAGGACGATTCGTAGAATAAGGGGGGAAAAGCAATAATGAAACACATTGGTGCATTGGTGGAGAAATAATGAAAGTGAAAAGGAACATGTAAAATATAGATGAACTATATTATATAGTAGGCTTCTTGTGAGGCTGTAAATTTTGCTAAATTAAAGAATTATTCTGACGAAAGCGATTATTTATTTGGGTGAGCCGAAACATGAGGGGGCGTAGTCGTACCTTAAAGAAATGCAGACCCGGTTCATCATCAGCAGGAAGCTCCATCGAAATTATTCATTATTTTTAGGGTTTTAAAAGTCTTGAAAGCGTATGCTTGTTCATTACATTATTGGGTGGGTGGTGGAATTATTTAAGGAAGGAAAGCTTCCACATGACAGCCCAATTCACCCCAGATGCCTCACTGATTTAGCAGAAAGCTCGTGGATTTGACGATCTTGGACGGTTCCCTCGTATCCAACGGTGGAAAGGCGACTGTGAGATTCAATTCTTGTTGTCCCTGTCACTGGAGAAATGATGCGTGAGGTTAAATTAGCTGTGAAGATGATGGGTGGGAGCATTGACTTTTTCGATCATATGAGGGCTCATGTTCATGGCGCTCGTTTTGCGTTATATATACATGCATTTATGCACAAGCTAAACTCATCTCTCTCTCTCTCTGACTTTTCAGTTCATGTGTTAGTGTCTCCGCCATTTCTTTGTCTCCAAGAACACCATCTCCTTCACCCATCTTCTTCTTCCCCTTCCTCAGTTGCACAGCCATAAGATCTCTAAGCCCTCGTACTTAGCCTCTTCCTTTTCGAAGCTGGGTTCGGCGGTTTCCTCAGTTCCTTGAGCTCAACTCCATAAAAACCTCCAGATCATGTAAAAGTTCGTCGCATCAACCCCAGAATTCTCCAACCCAAATCTCGAAAAACCCAAAAAAACTTGTTCATGTTACAGTGGAGCTATCTATCTATTTGTTCTTAGTCTAAAGTGGCTCGTTTCGTTTCTCCAATTATTCCTTAGAGACACATTTAGAAAAACCTGCACAGCATGTAATACCTGCCCTTTTAGCCTCTCACTCCAGGACCGCAAAAAAATTTCCAAAAAAAAACTTATCATTACCCTAGTCATGATTTGTGCATAGTCCTTGGTGTCTACCATTTTAGTGTGGTGAGAATCCTGGAAAAGATCGAGACGAAAGTGTGAGGACAACACTATAAAATCCTGCGAATCATGTAACAGTCGCCTCTGTCTCTCTCTGTCTTGTTCCAAGCTATCCTCCCCAAAAATAAAAAACCCAAAAAAACATCTTAGTTTACTATCTTTAGCCGGTAAGTTCTCAAGAAAAAAGGAAAAAAAAAGTAGAAAGAAATGCCAGAATCGCCGACGGCAGCATCAGCGCCGGCGACGCCGGGGACGCCGGCGCCGCTGTTCCCAGGGATGAGGGTGGACTCGCTGTCTTACGACCGGAAGTCAATGCCGCGGTGCAAGTGCCTCCCGGTGACTGCTCCCACGTGGGGCGAGGCCCATACGTGCTTCACCGATTTCCCCGCTCCTGACATCTCCCTCACCCGCAAAGTAACTCTCTCTCTCTCTCTCCTGTGATTTGGGATCATTGCTTAGTGTGCTAATGAAGATTTGGAGTTGAATTGTTTGCGAATGTTTAGCACTCACTAATTCACCATGTATCGCCTCCTTCGACACATCACATCGGCCATTTCACCCGATCCATGATGGACGGGGTCTAGACAAGGACTTCTTATGTTCCTTTAAGTTTTATGGTCAGCTCGACTCATTTATTCTCTTTCTTAAGAAATGAGGCGGGTTACTCTCTTTTACTATAAATTGCATCACGATTTGATCACCTGCTCCTCATGAGACTAATGTGCCGCGATCTCGTGAAGTCAAATTGACAGTTTGTCAATGTGAAATACTGTGTGAAGTATCGCCCGCACCCATATAGATCATTTTCTCCACACGCGGAGGTGCTTTCTGAGTTATGTGAAGCCATGCTCTCCAAAAACGCATTATTGGGTACCTTTTTTTTTTTGTACTTTTGACTTTCTTTCACGAAGCGGAAGACGCAAAGTGAAATTGCTAGTTCTGACAAAATGTGGAACCTTTGTCCTCTTGTCCGAAGGATGCTTCTTGGGATTTTTTTGCCCCTCCCTTGTTTGAGAAATTATGTCCTTTGTCCCCTACGAGACTTAAAAGAAAAGATAATTCATGATGTGATAGAGCAATTGACTTACTTTAGTTTTCTTAAGTACCTCTCCCAATTTTAATGGTTTTCGCACTAAAACGAGATCTATAAATAAACATTGAAAAAAAAAAAGAATTCGAAAGATTTATTTTGACTTTGCAATTAGTGTTGATCTGTATTCACCTTTTCCATGATTTCCTTCGAGCAATTAAAGTAGATCTCTTTATACACCTCTTTTAAAATGTGTGGAAGCTATTGCGTATTCATGATTTGCATACTTATATTATCGCAAATTGGTAGGAAAGCGATCCCTCATAGGACAGACAAGTATGGGTGGGGTCGTCTAGATACATAAATCAAAACAAAATAGTGCATTAAGTAATTAGAAAGGTCAAACTAGATATTGAATGAATGAATTAGTACATCGAGGAAAAAAAATATATGCATAAAGTACTTGGCATTAGGTTAGAGCTGACGCAGGGCTGTATAACGGTGACTCTTAGCTGATTCTATCTAGATTTTTTTATTGGTTTAGTTAACAATTTGGTGGGTTTCTTGGCTCATAAAACCAGAAGTACTATGTTAGTATATTGGCAGAGATAAGAGAACAATTGTTATATCATGAACTACTGGTGGGACATGGCTTCATCGTGTCTATCTTCCTCACAAAACACCAAGCGCTAAAATTGCTACACTGACCAATGGTGGGGTAGATGCATTTTGGATGTACTTAGTTCTTCATAAATATATAGAAAATATTGATTATGATGATAAAATAATAATGATAATTATAATAAAGTCCAAGCCGTCTTGCTTCGTTTCAATGTTTTTTAATTACACCCACTCCAATTATTTTCAAAAGGACCTTATCTATGGACTAATAAATGATATAGAATCAAATGAAACCACCTCATCGAAGTTGTACGTTGCATTTATATGCATATATACTTAGTACACATGCATCGATAGACATAGACATCTTGATATGGTGGATCTCATGTGTGATTTATGAAACCCCTTTGGTGCACATATGTCGAATTAATTTAGATTCCTTACGCGCCTTCTTTCCTTCCAAGTTTGAACCACCTTATTCTCGAGACACCTTTATCAATGAGGTCGTCATTGGAATAATGAGAATGTCAATTTTACTTTTTAAATTGAGGCCAACCTAATCAACACTTTCATTCGCGCATGCGCAATGTGAATAGAAACGTTGCTATTGGTAGAAAATGGAATTACGGACGGTTTATTGAATGGGAATGAGAGAGAGTCACGATGACATATTTTTCTAAAGTTATTGGTCATTTTTTTGGGTCAATGCTTGGTATTAAATTGTTGTCCCACGGGCATTTTCACTATGTCCAAGACTGTTGCTATTCGTAAATCGGTGCTCTCACGTCATCACCCACTCACTTGCTTGGTCAACTCAATTAAGTAGATGTTTGGATTCGAAAATCAATTTCATTGGAAGATTTTGGAGCTTTGGACTGTCACATCATATCAATATGTAAACATTGTAAAGTGCTCAATGTCAGTTCTTGTATGAAGTTATTAAATTTTTTCGAGTGTCGAGTTAGATGAACAGCTTTCATTTTCTTTTTACTTTTTGCTTTTTGTTCTCCAATTTTGGTCGTCTGCAAAAAAATGTGATCTCTTACTCATTCACTGTGCTGTGATGATCGTTCAATTGTGCGAGTTCTTACTCTCATTATCGTAACAAGTTGTGAAATTAAACCATTCAGAAAATTTATGCATCTAGTTTTCCGTATGACAGATTGAACTGTGCAATTCCATTTTAATCATGTGTTCTAATTTGCTTTAATTATCTGATGCAGCTTGGAGCTGAATTTGTGGGGACCTTCATCCTGATATTCGCAGCGACGGCAGGACCAATTGTGAACCAGAAGTACACCAACTCTGAGACACTGATCGGCAATGCGGGGTGCGCGGGGCTCGCGGTAATGATCATCATCTTGGCAACCGGACACATCTCGGGAGCTCACCTGAACCCCTCCCTCACCATTGCCTTCGCGGCCCTCCGCCACTTCCCTTGGGTCCAGGTCCCTGCCTACATTGCCGCCCAGGTCTCGGCCTCGATATGCGCTTCGTTTGCTCTCAAGGGTGTCTTCCACCCATACATGTCGGGCGGCGTCACGGTTCCTTCTGTCAGCCATGGCCAGGCCTTCGCGCTCGAGTTTTTGATCACTTTCAACCTCTTGTTCGTCGTCACTGCCGTTGCCACCGACACTCGTGCAGTATGTACATGTATCTTCAATTCTTCAAATAGAGGAAAATTGTCTTAGGGCTATTGTATTTTCGGCAAAGAGGTGCTAGGTATATATAGTAAAATCTATTTGGAATCATGTGCCTTATCTTAAGTGAGCATTTATAGACATATTTAACACCCAATAAGACCTTGTTGTATTACTCTCTATATCAATATTAATATGCCTAATTTTTATCTTCTTGTGGTTTTGTGTAGGTTGGAGAGTTGGCTGGAATAGCTGTTGGAGCCACGGTTATGCTGAACATTCTTGTTGCAGGGTATGTGACATTTTCACTCTTCTCATTCATGTCTTCTTTCTTATGATGTGATTGGTTTTATCTCTCACGCATTGCCTACAAACTTTTCGTATCAAAAAAGGTTAAAATTTGATTAAGAATTTCTACATAATTACAACTCAGATCATAAGGGCTACGTACTTTTGGCGAGGACCATGATTTGAAGTTTGGAAAAAGATTTGTGTCCGGAACTTTTTTGATTCTCAAAATGATTCCTAGTCAAACAGAACGAACCCAAACGAAAGAACAGCAAACCAGCTCAGCACCGTCTGTTTCCTCCACATGATTCTACCTAGAGACAGAGTGATTGCTCCCTTTATTTTTTCTAAACCCTAGTTGCATGAGAATATATAAATATTTATTTGTATGTGTGTGTATATAATGCACATACACGTCTAATGGTACGTTATCCTTGTTTTGTTTTGTTTTGTTGTCTGGACGGTGGTAAGTCGAATTGAAAGGAACTTGGAAGTATTAAAAATGGCAAGACCCACCCAAGAGCGTACGTTCCATTGAGTCAAAAATCTACTTAAAACCAAGTAGGGTTTGGTCGGTCACGCCTCGTTCTCATATCACCCATTTCTGTGAAATGAAGGTGATCCTTTTTGCTGTCAGTCGACTTGTCTGCATCTTCCAACTGATATTATTAAAGATTCTCCCAGACAAAGATGTAATCATTCTTTAGCTTTCCTTTGCTTTTTTTCGTTTTATGCTGGGAGTTTAATTATTTGACAAGTAGTGTCGATAGACCGAACAGTCGTGGGATCCGCTCGATTTGACAACCAATTACCAGGATAAATGCAACTCATCAATAAGCGAGATCTGGACCTCTAATATCATCATGCTGCATCTAGCCACTTAATTATCATTGCATTTCTTCCATGCAGGCCATCTAGCGGCGGTTCAATGAACCCGGTGCGCACCCTCGGCCCCGCTGTGGCGGCCGGGAACTACAGAGCCCTGTGGATATACCTGGTGGCCCCGACGCTCGGAGCTCTGGCCGGAGCCGGCACCTACACGGTCGTCAAGCTCCGCGACGACGAGGCCGACCCGCCACGCCCCGTCCGGAGCTTCCGGCGCTAGAGAGGAGTGCTCTCTTGTTTCCCCCCACACAAGTACTATATGCTTAGCGTATGCCAAAATGGTCGTTTGAGACTGTTCCATTCACTATCATGGGTATTTTGGTGGGTGAGGGAGAATCGCTGTGGGTGATAAAGGGTCTTCAAAAAGAGAAAAAGATAATAAAAAAAAAAGTTAGTGTGGAAGAATAATGTAAGTTTGAGAGCATGGAATGGATGTGACCTAAAGTCCACGCTCTACAGTTTGGGAATGTCTGGGCTTGAATAAGTTGGTGGGCACTGGTAATGCGATCGTGACGCGGGTGACCCATTGGAATCACTGAGTCACTGACTCGGATTCGATGTGTGTTGTTTTTTTTTTGCTAGAAAGATGTGTGTTTTTTGTTTCAGTGTGTTTGTCTTCTACCGAGAGCTCTGGTGTCTGGGCTCTTCCTTCTGCAGTCGTGTTGTGTTTGGGAACGGCGATGACTGTTTATAAATAATTAAAGTGCAGTCGCACATACGTGTGGGATTTCTGTGTAGCATTGGGCAGTACTGTGTGATTGCTGACTGACTGATTGATAGCTTCAGGATTCAGATCAAGCACTAATATTTAAATCTCTCTGTAATAGTTGGATCTAACTTGTGTTTTCATTGTAAACAGTTTCGATTACATTCTTCATTGAGTCAATTGCGTTAGTATCTTCTTCGTTCAATCATATTGCGTTAAGAAGATGTCGAAAAGATAATCGCTTTTGCACGGACTTGATCCATCGTAATGACAAGAAATTATCGTTCAGGCCCTTTTTACTTGAAGTGTTTGGGGAAGTATATGATTTATTTCCCTATCAAAACAATAGATGTGCCTTTCAAGTGTAGAACCTACCACTGGCTAGATTAAACTTTGATCTACCTCAAGACGTCAGATCCGAACCTAACTTAAAAAGAGAGGGGTTAAGTCTAGTCTCTATCATATCAAAGATCCTCAACCTGCCACTCACTGGATTAAACTTTGATCTACCTCAAGGCATCCCATTGCCATCGTGATGTACGTTTTGACCAACATTACGTTTGAAAAAACGAATTCGCTAATGAAAAGAGATCTCCTAAGCTCAACCATGGATTCCCAAAGATAAGGAGAATGGTGAGTGATGCGTGCACGTACTTTATCAAGACTTAATGTGGACACTACTCGACTGATAAGAGGAAGTTATTTAATCTAGAAAGCTTTGTTCTTTTCTAGATATAATTTGCTAATCATGATAGTTGTTAGCCTATTAAGGGCAATGGGCAGGTAATTAGCCCAACTGTGCGTGAAATTAAAGAATCAGAGCCCACCAACTCGTGATCTCGTGAAAACTAGACGACCCTTTTAATATTAGGCCACATACCTTGAAATGTACATGCCGCCAAGATGATTGGCCTGGTTATGTGAGCTGATACATCAACAGGTTATGTGGATTGTGAAAATGTCCAGTATCAGAGCATCCGGAAAACCATTCGGCGCATGACATTTTCGCTTGCATGAAGGCTTTTCCAAGCCCATTCGATGCTGATGGATCAATCCATGGACCATGGAAAACACAAGATGCTGGAGAGAGGGAGAGAGAGAGCAGAAGACAGCGCGCGAGCACAGTGAAAAGGAGGGAGGGCGACGACATAGAGGAGGGAGAGGGAGGAGACGCTCGAAGGCGAGAGAAGGGTTTACTAATCTGACAACAATTTATCTTATTTCTTGGAGGATTAGAAGTTGAGGCAATACTTGCATATTGCATTTGATAAGTTCCTTGAAGTAGTGCCAGAAATAAGATCTTTAGAGGTGAGACGAATGGCGCGGGATAACTTGCATGTCCCACGGGGTGGGCATGGGGATGTTCAAGCTTTTCCTCTGCATGGCGCGGTCGTGGAGCGGATATTAGGGCCACATCTCTAGTCGCCGCGCAGCAGGGTCGTGGGCCGGTATGCGACCCTTGTCCCCACCCTGCTCCATGGCTATTCCTACAAGCAAGCAAGCAAGCGATGCCAAACAATAGGCAAGGAAATGAAAATTGGCTTGGGGGTTCCATCCCAACATCATTCCCTTCGACCAAAACGTACCATAGATCTTATAGATGACAACAAGGTTTCACAAATAAGCTCAAACAGTCTTTCCAATCATCAATAACGGATGATTTTCGTTCTTTGGATGGGGATTATTAGGATTAGGTGCACAAACACTATGAAATAGAGAGTAAAAAGGTGAGAATGAGAAATCGAGACACAAAGTTTTATCCCGATTCACCCTTAAAGTAGAGCTACATCCAATAGAGGATTTTACTATAATTAGCACCTTACACCGCTTTATTACAACTCTCAATTACAGAAGAAAAAGATTATTTATACTCAGTATCTATTTATGGGCATAAGCCCAAACTACTAATAAAATACGCACCCAGACTATAAAAGCCCTCTTGTATCGTGGAGGCGCTATCCTCTATGACTTCGTGCTTCTGTTGATGGAGAGTATGAACCACACCCCGATAGAAATGAGGTGAGAGATATAAAAAGTAACTTATCAAACGAATTCACAAAAGCAATATGATCAGCCTATATTCAGGTACTTACTCGATGTTGTGAACTACCTTCTTTTGCCAATAACATCACTCGAGTGAGGAACGTGGCGGGAAGAACAAGAAACTCGGAAGGACGAGATGAAGACCATGAGATCAAAAAGGAAGAGATCAAGGCCTTTTTTGGTTAAACTATCCCCAACAAACTCCTGTGAATGTGGCTTACGTAGAAGCTAAGATCGTGGAGCAGTTTGTGTGGAATCGATGATGTATAAAGGAGAGGTCAGTGTTCAACCCCGGAATTCAAACTCATCCCGTGATCACTACAACTACTGAAAGCATTGATTGACAACGTCAAATTGGAGTCTAAGTAATCGATTTCATTTGAAAACAAGCACAGAAGGCAAGAAGAGGACTCGTTTCCCACGAAATAGCGATTTCATATAAACTGATGTAGCACTATTTTTCGTGCGTAAGTGGGAATAATTGTTCGAAGAAAGAAGGGTGAAAGCTAACAATTAGAGAGGTGAATAAGGAATTAGAAAAAACAATATGTTATAAAACTGTCTACTTGATATCATGAAGATTTTTGGGGGAACATTACCATTGGCCTGGTGGCACACGGACCGTCCAGGCCGGCTTACACCTCAAAGGCCCCTAGGGCAAAGTTGGCTGACCCGGGCATAGTTAGGCTTGACCTAAATGGCCCGGTTTGTCCATCGAATGATCGCTTTTACTGTTAATTGCATTAAAAGAATAAAGCCATGAGATAAAGATGTGGTTCAATAGTTAAACCCTGTAAATCGCCGGTTCAGGAAGAAAGTTCCACAAGAGGGTTCATCCCCCTTTGATTCAGGAGTTGTAATTAATCACCTACGCTATTTACATTGGCGATGTGTGGTTGATATTTGATTAACCCATAAGTATTTACGTGCTAGGTTTCTTCACATCTTGTTTTGCAGTAAAACAGAGGTACTGTAAGAAGTCTTTTGCTTTAATTAAGTACGTCCGTGGATGAACAAGAAAGCAAAGGAGGTGCACTGCATTAATTATTTAAATCTACATGCACAGTTAAGTGATTAATCCTCAAATCACTGATCGATGTTGAGGACGAGGAAAGGGACATCGTAACTCAGAGCTCATCCGTCATCCCAAACGACCCTGTGTCTTTTAGGTCGAGTCTGAATCATCTAGAGCCAAAAGCAACAAAAGGGTGTTCTTAATAATCCAAATTCATGTGGCTTTGCGTTGTCCTTGTCTCCTAGGCCTTAGAAGAGCGCTAGACAGGACATCTTTTGATCCGCTCTAATTTGTATTGAGGCTATCGAGTCGGTAAATAAGTCTCGCGCCATCTCAAATTACTACGACTTGATTTAAACTTGTTTGATTGGAGGTGAGTCGCGACGAGAGATGATATGACAGCTGCCTAGAGCATCAAAGCCAACATTCCCAAAATATTCCCGAGAGTGTCAACTCCAATTCTTGGCAGCAATCTTTGGCCTATTTGCCTATTGGTCTTGTAACTCATGTTGTGCAGCACATTTACAGATGCGTTGGATCCGGACAAACCTCTTTGTTATCACTGATCGAAAAATGTTTGCATTCTGATATTGCCCATAGAAGCTACGTATTTTCCATTGGGGGGTGGACAAAATGAAAACCCTAGGCGAAAATCATGAGAAATTGTGAGTTTCACTTCTGTCCATCGGCATAAAAAACTGAACTTTTTGTGGGCCTTATGTGGATTTTGACATACGAAAACTATGGACATAGACAAATTCAAAACCAACAAGAGCTCTTCCCCATAAAAGGACCGGATCTAATATTTGAAATTGGACGAATTGGGGATATAAATAGCACTTTTTGAGGGGATAATTACCAAAAAAATCTTAAACCTATTATACTTATGCCAATTCAGTCCTAAACATTTCAATTTGACTTATTTAGTTCTAAATCTTTTGACAATATACTAATATAGCCCATTTGGCCAATTTTAGCTAGAAATTGCTGACGTGGGCACTGACCGTCCTACGTTGCACGAATGGAGCTGACATGAGCAATTTTTTAATTTTTATTTATTTTTCCTTTTCTTCTCTTTTCCTTCTTTTCTTTTGTTTTTTTTTTTTTTCACTATGGCCAGCAAGCTTTGCCAAGGCCACCTTCACCTGCTGCGGTGGCAAAGCTTGTTGGCTTGAAAGAGAAAGAAAAAAAGGAAAAGAGAAGAAAAGAAAAATAAATAAAAACTTAAAAAAAATTATTTACGTTAGCGCTGACCGTCCTCCAGTCATACCACATAAGATGGCTGGCGTCAACGTTAGCGATTTTCGGTCAAAATTGATCGAATGGATTAAATTGGCAAAACGTCAAAAGGTTTTCGGGACTAGATTAACCAAATTAAAATGATTTAGGATTAAATTAACACAAGTATAATAGATTCACAACTCTTTCAGTAATTTCCTCCGTCTCGAGACCTTATCCAAGGGGAGCTACACAAAGTCGAGGGAGGATAAGGATGGGTACAAGGGACCCCAATGGATACCCTTGAATTCAATGATCCCCGGTGGCCCAAGAGACACGAAGATGACAACTTCGACTTGCGTCCTAGAATTAACCCTCATCCATTCGACAGATTCATGTTCAAATTCTCTATTGGAGAAAGAGAGGGAGGGATAGTAGAAGACAAAACTTCAATCAATGACGGTATAATAGTGATGGACGCCAGAATTATCCCTCTAAACAAACTTCAGAACGGGGGACCTCAGGTCCAAAAGAGAAGAAGATACTCACCGGGATCCGAAAGAGATTTGGGGGTCGCTTTAAAGAAATCAAATTATTAACATGACATGAAAGTTTAGTTAATCTATTCACTTAATTATTCCAAAGTGGGGTATGCACATAATGTTCACCATCACTTGCGAACGTCAACGAGGGGCAATCGTGCCCCTCGAAGGGATTGAACCAATCATGTTCAAATTGCATCATCATCCACTCTTCTTTGATAAAATGGCTAATTTTCAAGTGGAGGGAATAGAGAAGGGAACACCACCCTTGGTTCTATCTTTTTGCTACCATCATTCAATCTTATCCACCTCTTGTCGCCAAAAAGTTAGTGAATCCAACTTGCTTTTAGGGGGGCCAAGTTAATTACATCATTAAGAATAGTGACACCGATATTAAGGGTGCATTCGTTTGAGTGAAAGAATTTTTCGCGAATTAGTCAATGAAAGATCATTTATGGTCGAAGAAAATATTCATACTTAAAATAAATTAAACGAATTCCCTAATCTGAAAAAAGAAAAACATTTTTCTCTGCAAATGATCTCTATGGAAAGCATTTTCCTTTATCATTGATTTTTTCCGAAACAACACGCCCGGAATTTCAATGCGTATTGCGATTAGTATTGTTCACCAAGTTTACTAAATTTCGTTTTTTTAACCCTTGACTGTAAGATAAGAAGGAAAGATAAGATTCCCGTAAATAAAATATTTAGGGAACAAGTTTGATTGGCGAAAAAAATGAATGATTTGAAAAATATTTTCCTAAAAACGATCGCTTGTATCGCTTACAAAATAAATAAACGAAAAAAATATTTCGATCATTCAAGAAAATGTTTAGACATAAATTGTTGTCGGTACTGAAAATATTTTTCAATGAGTAATTATGTTAAATGATACAAATTTTTAGGAAAATATTTTTCAAATTATTCATCTTTCGCGCAACAAACGGAGTCTAAGACGTTTCTAGTGATCCAACTGAGTAATCTATCCGAAGAAGATAGTCATTTTCTACTTATCCGACTATGGAATCATAGTCATTTTTTATGCTCTATTGGTGCATGCATCACATTTACAAACTTCACTCGCGTAAGGAGTCTAAAAGTGTGGGCAAATACACTGATTGTACCACAAATTTGTCACCACGTCAACTCCAGCACAAGTGGGCAACCATAATTTTTGTCATCCCCTCAAGATATATATATTTATAAAGAGAAAACTATATGATATAGTATTATATCATAGTGCTCAATAAACTATTCATCTCCATGTAGCACGGACGATGCTGTGTTCCTGTCTCACCGCGTCTCATGTCAGCTACCGAGAGCAAGAGCACACTTTGGAGATATGAGTCAAGCTGATAATGGTAAAGTATTACCATAGTCATTTTTTAATTATGAATTTCCTCCCCCCCCAAATTGCATCCCTAAAATCCCATTAACGCATGTTCATGCGGATAAATATAAGACCAAAAATTTAGGGAATTATGGAGCGCCCATTCATTTCCTACCTAGTCAAATCTCTACACCTACACTTGGTTATACTATTTTCTATAGAGAAAATTGAAAAAAAAAAGTTTAGAATACGTATTGCTTCGAATTGTATCCAGTCGAGAGAGGACGATCATCACCTAAAAATTCTCATCAAATATTTCGTTTGAGAGAGGAATGATTCTTTTCAAATGGAAATGTATGTTTAACCATGATTTTTGTATTTTATGTATTTGTAACGTGAAATCTTATTACAAGATGGAAGCGAAATAAATAAAAACAAATGATGCCCATTATAAGCAAGGGAAAGGATTCCCTTTTTTTTCGTCCATTCCCAGGAATGATTACAAACTAGTATGTGTACACATGACTTTTTGTATAATCACATATGTATAATGTGATGATGCTTCATTACAAGATGGAAGCAAAATAAGAAAGAAAATGATGCCATTTCAAGAAAGTGAGAAGATTTTTCTATCCCATTTTTTTCATTAATGTTTCATCTTTGCTGTGGCACCATCTTGGGACTCACTCTCAATCCCATCATTATTACCTTTTGCCCAAATAGAAGGAAATGGGAAAAGCAATCTCCTTTCCTATAGCCTCTTCTTCCCCATCCATTTCATTCACTACATTCCCCAAAAACTAGGACCCAAAAGAAGAAAAAAAGGAAGAAGCAGAAGAAGAAGAGGAAGAAGAAATTAAAAACCAGTCTTTGCTTTGGAGTGTGACAATGGTGGAACGCTGCTTCAGCCGCTCATGGGGTTGCCCAAAACTCTCGTCCGCACGCACCATTAGGGAGAACGACACTGCCCAGAAGCTTATATCCTAATGCTGCGAAACCTTTCCAAATAAAACAAAGGGAAAGAGAGAAAAAGGAGAGACCCTTGTTGTTGTTCTTCTTCTTCTTCTGAAGGTCTTATCATTCCAGAGACACGTCTTTATTAATGGATCTTGGCAATTTCGGAAGCAGCATCTTCTTGAATCACCCAAAAGTACCCTCTTCCGTTTCCTGCTCCAGATCACCACCCCCCTCGTGTTTGGCTAGTGAATACGAGCACCCAGTGCGCATCATGAGCCTCGCCTCTCCCATGAGCTCCAAATTCAAGATTGGTCTGGCGTTTGTTTCTGCTGGTTTTGATTCTTTTGGAGACGCATGAGTGCTTGATCTCGATAATTTTCCCTTCGATTTTTCTTGGTCTTTGCTGATTATTGTTGCTCTCGCTACCCTTTTCGTCACATTCTCTGACAGAGTGAACACACCATCGATCGGCAAACAACTCCGACCATCTTCTTTCCTTTCTTTTTTACCCATTTTCCTCAGAGATATTGATTCCGGATTTTTTCGGGTGTTGGGATATGTTGGCATCTCCTGCGATGGCTGCTGTTGCTACTGTGACAGGCATCAGGTAATCACTTATTCATTCAAGTGTTTAGATTGTTCTTTTTCCTGTTGTTTTTTTATGATGAAGCATTGGGCAGTGTCTGTGTTCTGCTCTTTATGTTTGTGTCTTGAGTCAGGTGAGGGAATTTGTGTTAATGGTGTTTGATGTTATTCAGTCATGTTTTATCTTGCACTTTTAAGAATTTTGAGGTGGAACAAAGGATTCTGGAATATCCCATCTTTATTTCCGATCATCAGGTGTGATCATGGCCCTTGTTGCTTTTGGGATGAGAAGGGGAACAAACTGAGAAGTAGAACCAAGCAGAGCCCTTTCTCAAGAATTGCTTCAGTTTCGGCCTCGGCCTCCCCTCTTTCTAGCAATCACAGGACAAAGGAATTGTCTCGTTCCCAAATCTACCTGGAGGTTAATTCCAAATCGGCCCTTCCGTTGTGCTTAAAAACTATGTCGCATCGCGATATCTTGATCTTTATCTCATATGATGGCATCAGTTGTTTGGTTACATTGCACCTGCTCATGTTTTTGGTCTTATTTCGCTTGAGCTTTTGCAAAACATTACATGATTTTTTGCTTTTGCCTCATAATATTGAAGCCCTTCACCACGTTCCGAGTATTGATCGCATCATGCTCATTGGTTTGCCAGGTTCTTAAAGCTGCCAGGAAGAAGTTCACTCAGGAAATTTCTTTCCAGTCCAAGGACAAAGACATCTCCCTTGCAAAAGTATGAGTTTTATCGAACTGTCTCTGTATCTTTCTCTTGATTCGCTGAGTGATGCTGCATATATTCATTGTGTTGGTGCTACTTTATGGTTTGTTTTGCATGAAGCTCATTCTCGAACAGTACATTATGGTGGAACATGATCCATTTCAATTGATGTTCCAGTCCCCTTCACCAGAATATCTGATGTTCAAGTTCTTTTAAGTTTGTGGATTGGGAGCTATTCTTAATCTGCTTTGACCCATGACCAACATTTTTAATATACTCTACTTCTTGATGCAATTGTGTAGGTTTTGCTGTATGTGGCAGCTGAAGATGAGGCATTTCTGGCTCTCAAGAGAGAAATGGATGCAGAGTTCCTTTCAAAAGAAAGAAGATCAGCTTCTGTTCCATCTGATGCTCAAAAGTGGGATTCTTTAGACGATATGCCTTTGTCCGGAAGGACAATATCTCAATGGCTGAGTGAGCTGGATTCTATTGCTAAAGAAGTTGAGGCGGAACTAATTTCAAGAGATATAGGCTGCCATTTGGTCGAGGTTTTAGAAGCAGTTAATGTAGTTCTTTTTGGGTTGAAAGGCTTCAAGCGGGCAACTGTGCTTGTAGATTCCAAATGTTCATACTTGCACTCTGTGCTGAGTTCTAGATGTGGCAGTGGTAATGTTCTGATCCGCGTAATGCAAATGTAGCTAGCTTTTTCTGCATATTTTGTGCACCTCATGTCCAATTTCTTTGAATTTGGATATAGACGTTGTGAGATATGCCTTTCCTTTGAATCTGATTAGAACTGATGACTGATGGTACACTTCATACTTCCCTTGTCGACAGCAATTTTGCTTAGCATTATTTACATTGAGGTTTGTCGAAGACTTGGTCTGACCATTGTGGGATCTCGTGTCGGGGAAGATTTTTTGATATGGCCCCAAACTGGGAACCCAGAGGTGTGTTGACTGCTGATTTAATTGCAATGTGATGGATCTTATATCTTGGGACTGATTATAGATTTATGTATTGTACTCCACCTGCAGGAGCTCTTCCAGGTAAATAAAGGGAAGAGCTTGTTTGCCATCGTCAACGGAAGGTGTGTTGATGACCCAAAATCTAGGGCATCAGACTTAACTAGCAATTCACTTTTAGGACTTGAGATAGCTTCAAACCGGGATATCATTGGGATTGCTTTGGCAAACTTGATCGTAAGTTTTTCAATGTTCTGCATTTGTTACTTGATTTTGATTTCCTCATTGCATTCCTATTTTATTCATTTCACAATGTTCCTCTATGAATTTCATAATTTATGCCTGAAAAAATTGCAGAGGCTTCATTGGAAACGTGCTTCGAGGCTTAATCATGGGCTGATGTTGACTACTCCTCTTAGGCATGTTGACTATGCTTCTGAAAAATCCAACAAATTTGATGATTCAAATGCCCCTGTGCTACGGCCCCAAGATCTTAGGTAATACTTTGTTTCTTTTGTATGATTGTGACTCAGTTTTTAGCTTTTTCCCATGTCACGTTTTGTTTTGACATTGCTCATTAGTTCCTTGTGAAAATCGATGATATGAAAGTGCATGAAAAGTGTGCTGTCCGTACAATTGGTTGCATTTGTTATGGAAAATGAGATTTGTCATCCAAGACTACCGAATTTTCGTCATGCAAGACTATGATCATGAAGCATCTGCAGTAATTTACGATCTCGCCACTATATTAATTTGGTTTTGACTCTTATGTATAATGCCAAATACAATAAGTATCATCAGGACAATATAGTAGGTCCTATATGCGACAATATAAACCAATTGAGTTGTTTTAACATTGCAAGTCTTGCTTTGCTTTCTGATAGGGCTGGTTGATGAGTGGCACTCAAAATTTATGCAGCTGTAGATGTTTCTTGTTTTTATTTCTTTTAGAAATTAAGATGTGGTTGACAAGAGACAGATCATATGTTTATTAAAACTAGTTTCACAATCATGCTTCAAAATCTGTCACGCAACCCCAATAAGAATACGAACTATAAACAATCTCTAAATATATAGGGGCTTTTTATCATATTTCTTCAATATGATGAATATATGAGTTGTACAGACTACAAATATCTGAAAGTACATGAAGCACATGGGCTTTCTTCAAATTCTCATCTTAGCACCAGAGGAGTTTTTGTACCTTCTTTTATTTTTCTAACCACACCAACCAAAATATTGTTCTTTGCCTTTTCCTGCTGGCATATAAGGTCATGCCATAGATCATGATGGTCTGTTTGCTTGGATGAGTTCATGTTAGAAAGGGGTTGGCTTCACATCAATGCCAACTTTGCCCTCAACTTGATTATTTACTGTCTGCGTGCCTTTACTTGTAATTTACAGGCCTCATAATGCGTAGTTGTCCTAACTTGGAATAATTGGCATGTCTCCTCCTCTTTGCTTTGTTTTCATTTAGTTCTATCTGCTCGGTTTTGAAAATGATTTTCTATTTTTGATCACTATAGTCTTGAGCAGATGTCATGGTTTTTGACGTGCAGTTATCTGATGGTAATAAACTCGAAGTCTCTGCAATGCAGTATAATTCTCCCAGACAGATGTTTCTCAATATTGTAATCTAAGATTGTCTTCACAATATCTAGAAAGGTCTGTAGCTGCCAAAATGATATCAGTCAGTATTGGTAACTTGTTCCTGTCGAGTCCCCCAAGGGTGTAATGATATATGTGGAGGGGCTTTTATTAATCATCACGTGTCCTTCAACTTGTAATAGACCAAGTAGTCTTTTCCTCTACAAATGCTTATCCTCGTCTGTTTATTTGATAGCAAACATTTGTTCTCGTAGTTTGGCGTTAGTGGATTAAATAGCAAGCTTTCTTCTGTCAATGTACATTTTCCTTGGTCACTTCACTTAACTTTCTTCTCAAGTCTGTAGATTATTTTTGCCTCGCATCTTTGTCAAGTAACTTCATCATGGCGTTTGAATTATAACTTGACAGGTTGGCTATTATGGCTTCAGAAAGATTATTGATTCTGCAGCCGCATAACTGGGCTCTGAGGAGGGACCACGGGATGATGCTGTACTACAAGAAGTATGAACTGCTACTGATTTTCCTTGAAAAGGACCCAATTTCCTTAATATCAATGACCTTCTTACACTAATAATTCCAGGGACTACGGGGAGGCGGTTCAAGAACTTAGCATTTGTATGGCATTTGCGCCGGAAGAAGAGGCGGAGATTTTGGAACCATTCGTCGAGAAGCTGCATTTGCTGCGGCTGGAAGCGTCGTGGAAGTCCATGGGGCATAATCAATTGACAGTTCCTTAGGTTGTACTCTGCCCTTAACATCCTCTCTGTCTCTCTCTCTCAATGGCATGTTTCTTAGTGTCGGAACAATCTGTGGCTGTACAATCTCAAGACTAGAGTAGCTAATCCAATCTGTCCCTGACTGTTGTATGTGTATAAGATAGGATATATGATAATATAGATTAAAGAACTCGGAAGCAATGGCTTTCTTGACACTTACTCCATCATTGTCTTGCTTGAAGACATTGTCCTTCTCTTGATCTATTGTGTACGTTCGGTTTTAGATATAGCTTTTCCACATTCGCCGTTGCCGGATTCGATTCTCGCGAAACTACTTTCATGCATGATTCTTTTCTCTCGTTAAGAAACATGCTCGGCACCGTGTTTTCAAATTTCAACACGTCCACTTCTAAAACACGATACATTTTTCACTTTTTTGTTCTCCCTCTTTTTCAATACTGGATATGAAAGTTCAGTTTTCTTCCGACTCCTGTCTTGTTTTGAGCATTGCATCTTGTTTTCAAATTTCGGGAAATTTGTACTTTTAAGACAAATTAAAAATGCCGCCTAAACAAAAACAGACATTAAAATCAGCAGTAAATGCTAATTAACAATTATACAAGATTTTACGGTCATGATTACTGTAAGCAATCGGTTCCGTACGGGATAATGCTGCGCATCTATCATTAATTATAATTATCAAAGAAGGAGTACGAATATTCTAGCCATAAAAGAAGAAAATTGTTTATGAGAAACATCACCATGTGGTCCATGTCACAAGGCAGCATCTTTCGAGACCAACATGCGCACGATCATTGAGTTCTATATTGTGATTAGATTAGATTAGATTAAATAAGATATTTTAAGCGATTTAAAAAAAAAATCATTCCCTCTTCTCCAAATAAAATAATAAAACAAGTCAACTTGTTGGCTCAATCCTGCGATGGAGAATGATTTCGTGTTCGCAAGAGAGTTGGGAAAATCTTGGAAAGTCAACGCATGTGAAGTAGATGGCCATTTTTGTTATTTGGCCCAGATCAGACGGAAAAAAATTCACTCAAGTCAATGTAACAAGGCAATTATTAAAAAAAAAAAAAAGACGGGTCGAGACGAAAGTCTTGCGTTGCTTAAGAGTGTACGCATCGAGTTGTATATAATATGGTTCCCGCAATTTTTAAATCGAGTGCTATTTTGAAATTGGCATGATGGACTCTATATAATTCTTCACTTCGATCCCTTAGCCGTGAGTTTTGTCTCATTAATCTAGACTTTATGTCTAGTGATCAATTATAAAATTCTGTATCGTAAGTTGGCAAGAATTAGACAATTGTCGCATGCGCGGCACCTTTATACAAGTATAGGAAGAGGCATTGCTTGTAAAACACGTTCGGTATGTAAATACAGAACATTGCAGAGCAGGCACAATTTGATAGGTCAGCAAGAATGTATACAAATGAGAGAACTCCTAATTATCGACCTAACTCAAGTTAATCTGTTGCTAAGCCCCTCAGCCACAATTTTTATCATGATATAACATTTCATATTTTATGCAAATCAAAAATTAAATTATTGACCATTATTACATCCCAAATCCACTAAGAATGGCCTAGGCAAATAGTTATCATAAGTGTGTGAACTATTTCATGCCGTTTCCTCCTTAGAGTTCTCTCCACTTCCTCTCATCTTCACACAACTTTCTTCTTCAACCTCCATGCAGGGGTTTGAGTTAGATCTATCCCTCCTCTCCTTTTTTTTCTTTTCTTTTTTCTCTTTGGCTAATTTGGTTCTCTGGCTGATTTGGTTCTCTGTTTTCTTTTTCCTATTTTCCTCCCGTTTTGAGAAGCTTTTCTCTTCTGATCTAGTTTAGATCCGTAAGCTTCTCTCTCCCGTTGTGAGAAGGTATTTCTCTCGATCTAGTCTAGATTTGGGGATTTTTGCGTGTATGTTTTCAGGGTTTCGCATCTCCTCTAGTTTTGTTGGTGTGCAAGTCCAATTTTGAAAGAAATTGAAGGAACTTCACAAAAGTTTCACTCTCACGGATATAAGATCTATGCTCGTTCAACCTTGTTTCTTTGAACAATGGTGTTGGGGTCGTTTAACCTAAATGCGAATCTCTGAAAGGCAAAGTCGTAGCAACAAATGAAGATTCGATGCATGCTTATTATTGAAGGCCGATTTGGTGATCGGCTGCAGATTTTTATTGAATAAATCTGATTCTCGCATGATGACGCAAGCAAAGGAATATGGGAAGTAAGGTTGAGGAAGAACGAAATGAGCCACGAACAAGTCGCCCAAGTCTAGTGACCGGCCATTTGTTGTCCAGACAAGTACCTCCGCGCAATCCTGGCTATAGAATGATTTGACAAGAGAAGAGATCTAACTGTTTAAACGGCCAGAGACGGTGTTGCACAGATATCTAGAGGTTTTGGTTGGGAAGAGCGGGACCCTATCGAGGCACAATCCTTCAAGAGGCACGACATGAATGAGAGACATAAAGAGGAGTGTGATCGGCCGCTGATTTTATTGAATAAGTCACAGATTTGCTCTTTAAGTTTGTGACCCCTAATATTGTTTCAATGATTCATCTTATTATATGGAATTTGTTTTATTTGAGTTATCCCCGATTTGTTTTGGTTTGCAGTCGAACTGCGTTGTTTCTCTCTTATATTTATGTGGAAATGAATAAAATATTACTTTGATGAAAAAAAAAAAAATGAGAGTGCATGCACAATCTCCATAGTTAGCTCTATGTCATTAGTAGGATGCTAAGTTATCCTTGTCTACCTTACCTTCTTTTGGAAGAATTTTGGTTTTTTTTTTTCTTGGTTATGGGAAGAACTTTGGTTTTTTTTTTTTTGGTCTGGAAGGAAGAACTTTGGTTAGGCAGGTAGGTTTGGAGCGAAATTCATGAAGAAAAGCCAGTCCCGATGATTCAATGCGTGTAATGTTAATCCATGTTGTTATGATATGGGCTACTTACTCGAAACTCATATATTTCTTACAGGGAAAAACACAATCGCCGACAAGCACGGGCCTCTACGTGCCAACATCCGGTTAAATAGTCATTTTATGTCTCTAATTAGGATGATACTACCATTTTTTTGTGTTGGTAAATTTTTTAAAGAGTTGGCAAGTGTAAATAAAGTGTGGGTAAAAAAATTGTTAGTCATCTGATTTTCCCAATAGCTTGTTGGAATTTTCTAACATTTTCATGAAAATACAAAATCTTTGTTTCACCATGCAAATTACCGACTTTACTTATTTTTTGTCATGACCTTCCTCGGGATGGGGATGACGGGTTTAGAGGTATTGCCCAAAGGCGGGCAGACGACCCTCGATTAGGCACGGGCTCTCCCAAGTCTATAACTCGCGCTAAGTTGGATGTTATTTTAAGTTCGATTTAGCCTAAGGGATTCTAGGAGTCGCCACTGGCCATTTGAGGTTAGTTAGAAACCAAATGAAAACCAAATGAGACATGGGAAGTTCATCTTATTTCTTACGCAACCAGAGATTCTAAATCCGAGAACTTGATTACGTTAATATTTCTATAATTGCCTATTTGGTATCTCTAACTTGGAAGTTTGTTATCTAAGTGGTCATATAATGTTGATTATCAATTATGATCCTAAAGGTATCAAAGCCGCTAAATGTCATGAAAATATTCTTGGAGGGCATTCATTATGATCCTAATTTTGACCTAACGATTCTAGAAAAGAAATTAACGAGCAATTTTATTGAAGTGCAGGGTGGTAATGAAATAGCCAAGTATTGAAAGCGCCTAAGTAAATGTATGGAAATGTAGACCCGACACTTGTTGGGCAAAGAATATATATATAACCATGTTATAAGCCCCAGGGCATGATCCCCCATGAGCTAAATGGAAACTTAAATATGCGTGAAATTACTCAAAATGCATAAAATTACACTATATAATTCTAATCTACGCAAAAAAGATTATTTACAAAGATGATTATAAATTACCAAAAAAGCACTGAATTAGGAAAGTGACTCTAGAAAATTAGGAAAATTTTGAAAATGTCATGCCTAATTTAACACTAATCTACGTTCTTTGTTTTTTTTATTTAAAAAATTCCTAATTTATCATTTTTTAATTTTTTATAAATAAAAATGGGAAAATTTCATTTTGGTACCCAAAGTGGAAGCGTTTTCTCAATTTGGTACCCAAAGTAGACACGATGTCAAATAAGGGCCCGAAGTGCCCAATTAATCTCAAATAAGGACCTGAAGTGCCCAAAAAGTCTCAAATAAGGGCCTGGTCGGGTAGCAAAATTGCTCATCGGCGTAGGAAGAATGTCTTGTTCGTCTGGAACAGATCTTTTAATTATTTTTTCCTTTATGTTTTTCCTTTTCCTTTTCTTTTTTTTTTTCTTCTCTTCCTCCGCCGGCCATAGCCGGGCCGGCGGGAGGTCGCCCGCCTCAGGTGGAGGCGGCCCTCACCGGCGTCGGGCGAGGGCCGCCCTCGCCTGGGCTGGGCGAGGTCGAGCCTAGCCAGATCTGGCGAGGGTTCGGCCTCACGGCCGCCGGGCGAGGCCGACCTCACCGTTGCCGGGCAAGGTCGCCGCCCGACGCGGCGGCGAGGTCGAGCCTCGCCGCTGGATCCGGGGGCTCGGCCCCGCCGCCGCCGGGCGAGGCTCGGCCGCTGGGTTGCAGCTAGACCGACCTCGCCATTGCCGGGCGAGGTCGGCCTCGTTTAGCTTGCCTGGGCGAGGCCGACTCGCCTGAAGCCAACGGCAAGGTCGAGCCTCGCCAAATCTGGTGAGGGCTCGACCTCGCCGGCCGCTGGCGAGACTCGGCCTCGCCGTTGCAGGCGAGGCTCGGCCTCGCCGTTGCAGGCGAGACCGACCTCGCCTGGGCTGGGTGAGGTCAACCTTGCCAGTTGCTGGCGAGGCTGACCTCGCCCAGCAACGGGAGGTCGAGCCTCGCCGGCAACTGGCGAGGCTGACCTCGCCCAGCCCAAGCGAGGGCGGCCCTCGCCCGACGCCGGCGAGGGCCGCCTCCGCCTGAGGCGGGCTACCTCCGCCGGCCCCGGCTATGGCCGGCGGAGGAAGAGAAGAAAAAAAAAAGAAAAGGAAAAGGAAAAAAAAACAAAAAGGAAAAAATAATTAAAAAGTACTGTTTCGGTGTTGGAACAGTACATTCTTGCCGGCCGACAGGCAATTTGGGCCGGCCGGCGACCCAGGCCCTTATTTGACACCGTG